GTTGCCCAATGTCGCTAACAGTTGATCCGACTGATCACGAGGTCCGTAACACAACCCTTTTGACCAACTCCCCGAAGTCAGTGCTTTCAAAACCTTAGGCCAGATCCTGGGTTAACCATTCTTTCTCTTCTTTCAACTGCCCCCGCGCTGTTTAAACTTAACACATCGAAGAAGCGATCCCAGTGACATGCGTAACACTGGCCACAATTCACATGGGTTGTCTGTGAACTCGGGTTGGTACGCGATCGCGACCAAGTCATAATGCTCGTCCAACCTAGGAGTAATCTGTTATGAGACGACAGCTCATACGGTTATGAGCAGTGATTTTACTCAGTTGCTGCACGTTAGGAACAGGACTAAATTATATTGCTTCTTTGCTTATTAATTTCAATAGTTATACGTAACCGGTGTTTTTTATCCATCTTTCTGTTTCTTTTCCGCGAGTTTTGATTCTTAGTTTGTCCAACCGCTAACATTCGCAAGGCCTCTTTCAAATCAATTTGTTCATCGGATGATCTTGGCATTAACTTTTACTAGAAAAATTAAATGACAATGTTGCGGAGAAAAATACCTAGCCTATAAAAAGAAAGTTGTTTAGAGTTAATAAATTTAAGCATGTCACTTCTTCTTCATCAGTTCCTGAGCTGACTGCCCTTGACCTCTCAACCATCATAATTTATTGTATTCTAAGCACTTGGATCAGTTTGCAACCTCCATTGCTGAATATTGCTCCTTTACCACGGCATTACTCGTACGGTAAGTCCCTCTTATGTTGTTATCTCGGCAACTGGTGCTTCACTCCTGGCAGAACCCCAAACGAAATTTCAACGCACATTGTTTCCTCTACCACTCGTTATCACAAAGGTCTACTGAACTTCATCCCGGTTGCTGGTTGCATTACTGGGATAGAGCAGCGGGGCCTATGAATTCGGCCGCGACATTCAGCTCAAAAGAAAATTCACCCATCCGGGTGCATAAAGCTACTACTGACTGACTGACTGGCTGCCTCACTAACCGGACCATATCGTTCGTCCTCGATGTGAAGAAATTTCTGCGCGATTTTCTGAGGCTTTATCGCAGGGTACATTCTCCAGAAATCCAAAGTGACGGAGTATTTCGTCAGAAGATTGGATATATAAACAGTTAACTTGGAGCTCAGAGCCAAAAGACAGTGACAAAGAGAGTGCCTCCAATGGATGTAGTCTGTACAACCCAGCCGAGCGATAACTACCTGATGATGTATAAAATCTTTTTCCACGGTCAAAAAGAAAACTCCAGTACCCGCCTCAAATATATCTATATTGGGCTTTTGACTAACAACCTGCTTCATTCAAAATAAACGGCTTTTTTCACAATGCAAAATGTCTACGGACTTTGAATAACTAAAGTCATGTGATCTGATTTATCACAGTTGTGCCCCGATACAAACTTATCACACCCTCCTCGTTAGTCTTGTGTAGCATTTCCACTACCGTATGCCCTATAATTAGTATTTTTGAAAACCTAAATAACCAGATGGAAACCCCAAATACGAAATTTTATCAAACTATTTTTATTCTAACAAAAATACATTTTTTAAATCATAAATTTTGCTGCATCTCTCTATTATCGGTTGTACTGTTTTATTAACGCAATCTCGTCATTGTGCCTGGTCCACCCGCCGAGTTTTTCCCGACATATCGAGGCGATCTAAGGTTATTAGAACGCTATTGAAAAGTAGCCGTGTGATTGCATCATTACCTGGGTGGAGGTAGAGTTACGCGGAAAGAAACTTGTTGGAATTGAGGAATCAACACTGAGTACGTTTTGTGAGGTGAAACGTCGGATGTGTGGGATACATGACGGTGCTACAGATCCAGGTCCACGGTAACACAGTAGTTGAAGAGAAAATATTGGAAAATGTCTCGGGTAGGACAGAAGCGAGTCGGTGCGTAGGACATCGAACTATCTGATGCATTCAAGGTCATAGCCCCGGAATTTGAGTCGATCGCATCGGTGAGAATCATGGAATTTTGGGCGTGAATGATCGAGATAGGTCGCACAATCGTCCCCTTCCCCCGTACCACAACAATAAGTTGAAAACTGTACTGTTTAACAGTCTTCGGGATATCACAATGAGGCTTGAGCAGAACATGCTTCTGGTAGCTCTGATGAGGCGAACGGGACAGCTGGAAAAGATACAGAGAGGGCCTGTAATGTTGTTGAGACAAGTTGAACTGACACACAGACATCTTGATTTGATCCCGAGACAATTTGAATTGCAATAGGTAGGCACGGTATCAACACAAAACCATAGTCATGGACTTTAAGCAAGATTTTGTCCAACCACCCATATACTATTATAGTGATCCAAACAATTGGCGATTTGGTGGTTATCCTGTTGTACTCCGAAAGTCTTCATACGGCTTCGAAATTCAGTCTTCTTCCTTATGACGTAACTATCTTCCCTAGTTGGACTATGTCCCGTACTCGTCAGTCCCGCCATTAGTTCAGTCCGAGATCACGTGAGTCATTGTGTGATATGCATGTACATTCTTCACATATGAGTCGAGTAGCTGTTAGCGTGTGTGTGTATGCATACATACAGTCGTGTGCTATGCACAACACTTATGCTGTTGGTTGTTCTACCAGCTTAGTAATCTGTACTCAATTGTAGTGCACGGTATTAGAATCAAACACTTTACCCTTATGCATGAAGTTTAAATTGTCCGTTTTTGTCTTTTTACCTTTGATCCAAATGCATTTTATAATAAAAAATAGGAGCTCATTGTCAGTTTGGGAAGTCTTCTCGGTCAACCGCCGAAGTGAGCTAAGCATGCTTGAGTGCTAACATGATTGCGTTGCGGAGATTCGTACATTGGAACTTAGGTTTGCTGTCGCCAAAAGATCTGCGGATTACAAGATGATGTCTTACTTAAATATAATAGTGCTTTTAATTGTATAAAGGCCGAAACATTTCCTTTGTGTTCAAGGGTATGCGGAGGCCGGTTTGCTTCCAAAATTTGAGAAAATTTTGGATATACTTGTTCACCAGGTACACTAGGATTTCATGGTTTATCAGTCAAGAATGGAAATAATAACCACTCTTAGGGGAGAATGAGAAATATTGAGAAAGAGAAATTTAAATATCTTGCTTGAAGCATGTAACGAGATCCGTAGACATAGGGATGGCTGCACGAGATTTTAATGGTAACTGTAGACGCCGTGTTTGGAGGGGAGTGGAGGGTCCGTGCCTTTATTACTACGCTTTTTCGCATTTTCCTACCTAGTTCGTACATGTTACATAGTTTAATTCTAATAATTTTTGTTCTTTATAGTACCATAGATTTGTTAGCTGTGACCAGATGAGATTTCGTTAGACGGAAGTAGAAATATGCGGGAAAATAAGAGTGATTACATCATTTTATTGCACGATCTATTAGTTGATCTTGAATCGGTTTTTCGCGACTAACTGAAATTTAGGTTCTACGAAAAACAACAGTTTATTGAAGCTATAAACCTCGGACTGCTCGTTCACAGATCCGATGAACTGATAGTGTCAGACTGTCATCAGTATTAGCAGATCAAAAGTGGCTGGCAGAGGCGGGAGCAGTTTAGTAATAGCAGTTCACACGAGATGGTAATGCGTTAAAATAAAGTGGATATCAAACAAAAAGATACGAATTTCATTTGGCTTGCACAACTTGGTCTATTTCGGTTGAAAACCTGTGAACAACTGATCAATCCTCAGTGACTCGTTCCGAGTGGGCTGGCTCAGACGAATCAGAAAGCAACCCTAATTTATGATCACTTTTTCTAATCTGAAAGCCGAAAGAACGATTGTTCTACGCTGCGAAAGAACAACCTCAATGCAGTGATTAGGATGCAACAATTACGTAACAGTTTTCAGATTTGAATTGCGTGGAGTCTGTTTGATCTTCTAAAGTGAGTGACGCGAGTGACTTGTGAAACACACGAAGTAAGTTTTTGTTTCTCTAAATTGAGTTACTTGTCCTGACAATGAACTTCTCACATTTCCTCCAAATTTTGCTGTTGATCAATCAAGATGTTCACTCCTCTAGGACAAATTAGATCATTTCCAAATCCGGAAAAACAAGCTAAACACCGAAGCCTGCCTGATCCATTTTTGTGCAAGCTGACAATTACTTCTCAAGCCCTTTCAGGTCGCCCGGTTCCACTGTTCCAATATACGAGTCAATCAGGGTTTGATATAACAAGTGAACCTTCCACCAGTACAAATAGGGAATGTTTACCGCAATAGCAAGGTGCCGTTGGCTTGGCATCTTGAATGTGAGGGCCCAGATTTGATTGAGTAACCGTTGAGCTGTGCTAGACCTGTTGGAGGTAAACGAAAATAAACTATGCACTGCGTGAAATAGAGATGAGTGTGGTTATCAAAGATGCTAGATCTAAAACAGATCGACTTTCTTCCGGCTAATTTCGACACCACTTGTACAGCCTTCGGCGAAACGTAGACCGCTGTCCACTGGCTTTTACAACCTTCAAAAGGGGGCTTAAATATTGCAGATAACATTCTGCGCTCTGCTGCACCTAAATGATCAGTGGTTGTCTAGGCCAACATAAGCAATATCATACTAAGCACACAAGTTTGCTACTTAGTCTAGTTTGAGTCAAAACTTTTCATTTGGTGGATGGTGCAACTATCTTACCAATGAAGGAATTCATCCTTGAACAGCATGTACTATAAAAAGGGAACAGAAAAGATGTACCACAGAAGTACTTGATGAATCCAGTGATATACCAAATCATGTGTTACTTAAAAAACACAATTGCATTTCCCTTCCTCGTTTTTCGGATTGACGGGACATTGTTGTTCATTTTAGGTAGACCATTTTGCGCAATCCATTTTGACTAATTCATCTTGCTTCATTCATCTGTCTGATCTGTCCAGCATCCTGTGACCTTATGATTGATCTGTATTGCATGATTTATCTCGACATTTTGAACATACTGTTTTTGAATGTTGCATGCTCAACAACTGTTTAGACCGTCTTTTTGCACCCTGTGAGGTCTGAGAAGTCAAATGCACTAATAGGTGTTTTTTATCATTTGCCCGCTCTTACTTTACCTTACTACATTGCTCCCCCGACAGTGAGAGCCCATATAATAACGCATTTTAATCCCAATTTAGGCTTGGCCTGAAGATGCACTAACTGCCGTGGCGACTCGTTCACTGAAAGAAGTGGAAATGACAGATGAAGTGCGCGAAGGTTGTATCAATTTGTGCAAATATTTCCACACAAGCACACGGGAGTTATCAGTGCGTTTTCTGGCTGAATTGGAGAGACACAACTACGTAACTCCAACTTCGTATCTGGAACTGATCACCACATTCATGACGTTGTTGGAAAAGAAGCGAACGTGAGCTTTTCGCAAGAACAATTCACTGTTTTTTTATTTGGTTGATTCTAGAAAAGGGAATATGTGAATTTCAAAGCTTTGCGAATCACTGTAAGCGTGTCTTAATGCCATTGGACACAGTCAGCACTGGTCCTACATGCCTTAACTGATCAAACTATTTCATCTAGTTTATCCGCGGTGTAGCACGATCACTATACCTTTTCAACTTCAAGTGAATCCAACCAATCGCATTCTACTAGGAACTCAACAAAGTGATTGGTTCTTGGGTGTCACACGTCACGACCGGGCCTATCGAAACCCCGCCCAGTCGGAGTGAACTGATTTCCCCATAGACAAACAAAAGTACTTTTTGAGTGTTACCGA